TCTATGATATTTCTAGAGGGTTTCTTTGGGAATTCTGTTGGGTTTCCATCCCATGGTATTTCTATGATACTTCTTTGGGACTACTATTGGATTTCTATGGGATGTCGGTGGTATTTCTATGGGATTACTATCGGGTTTCAAAAGGACGCCCATGGGATTCCCATTGGGTTCCTATGGGATTTCCATGATGTTTCTATGATATTTCTTTGGGATTACTATGTGATTTCTGAAGGGATGCTATGGGAACTCTATGGTATTCTTATGGGACTTCCATTGGGTTCCCATGGGATTTCGTTGGCATTTCTTTGATGTTTCTATGGGATTTCTTTGGGGTTCCTATCGGATTCCTATGGCATTCCTATGGGAGTTCCATGATGTTTCTATGATATTTCTATGGGATTACTATGGGATTCCTGCAGGAATTCTTTGACATTCTTATGGGATTTCTTTGCGGTTCCTATGCTATTTCCATGTTATTTCTATGATCTTTCTATGGAATTTCTGTGGGAACCCTATGGCATTTCCATGATCTTTCTATGATATTTTTATGGGATGCCAATTGAAAGTAAGTTGAAATCAATTGAAAATAATTTCAAACTAAATTGAAATCAATTGAAAATCTATTGACAGTAAGTTGACATCAATTGAATATCAATTGAACGTAAATTGAAACCAATTGAAAATCCATTGAAATTGAGTGAAAGTAAATAGAAATCAATTGAAATTAAGTGAAAGTAAATTGAAATCAATTGAAATCAATTGAAAGTAAATTGAAATCAATTGAAATCAACTGAAAATCAATTGAAATACATTGAAAGTAAATTGAAATCAATTGAAAGTAAATTGAAGTCAATTGAAAGTAAACTGAAATCAATTGAATGCAAATTGAAATCAATTGAAAATCAATTGAAATCAATTGAAATCGAATCTATCAAAATTGTTTGATCAAACATTACTCAGTTCCTGAACCTTAAAAAATTCCACATTAAAGAGGATCCAAAAGTTGTTTGGGGGGGGCTACACTAATCAGGAACCAACATTATTGCAAAAACTACCCCTGGTGAGCCCATCAACAATTTCAACGTTCTGCGCCTGGTTCCTCCACTGGTTCCTATCTGCCGGCTGTCGACTGATACGCGAGCCAGCTTTTGTGTGCTATGTAGCCACCCCCATTCAGGCCCCTACAAAAGGTCCTTGTCCAGAGCCCCTACCATATGGGTTGGTGTGTTGTCTTTCCTGTCTTCACATGCATGTAAGGCCCCTACAAAAGGTCCTTGTCCAGAGCGCCTACCATATGGGTTGGTGTGTTGCCTTTCCTGTCTTCACATGCATGTCAGACATTTCAAGGCAATTAAGAAATATTGCGAGAATAATAATTCATGTTTACTGTGATGTAGTAAAATATCTAAAATTAAGAACCCGGGAAAATCAGCGACTGGGATCAAACCAATATCAGGCATACTAGAAAATTACACCCTTACCAAAATGCATGCTCAAAGCCTCATGTTGCATTTTTTGTTTTGAAAAACCCAGGGGGCGCTTGAATCAATATTAGTTTACCTTGAAGGTGCTTGGAAGGAAACCTGTCATTTTGCAGGGGCAGCTGGGTGGAATAATAGAAACACTACACAATATATATTCGCTATGATCTTCATCCCCAAATTCCTTTTTAGTACAGTACTGATCTTGATGTGCCTTGAGCTATATGTAAATGAAATAACAAACGCCAGCTCATGCCGTAGCTGTTTTGACGGGGGCCTCTCACTTTGTAGGGGGCATGGGGAAGGAAAAGCATAAATGCTTGCACATATTCTGACATTATCTTGAGCTATACCTTTAGAAGCATGTGAGGCATAAAAAAAAAGAAACAGCAACCCGATTTGTTATGCATGCATCGTGATGTATTGCGTATTTTTTGTGTGCATTGGTGTGTTTGTACTGTTGTGTATGTATTTGTTTGTATGTAAGGTTATGAATGTTTTTTTTTCGTATGTCTCGTTGGATTGGGCGCGCCTTGGCGGAGATTTTTCACCGTAGCCATTCAGCCACTCAGCCACTCTGGGCGGCCATTCACCCACTCAGCCATTCTCTCACAAGTAGAATGATTGAGTGGGTGGCATCAGTATTATCGCCAGCACAATCAGCATTATCACCATCACTGTCATCTTCAGCGCCATGACCATTACCACCATCATATTCAACACCGCTCACCGTCATCATTATCGTCATCATCGGCACCATCATCACCACCACCACCACCGTCATATCGCCATCATTATCACCATCCCTACCCGTTGGATTGCGTTGGACCCCACGCTCTCAAGCCAAATTGTCAAAGCCAAGAAATTCTTGTCAGGGAGACTGTCAACATAACAGTGTGTTCGGCTGGCCCGGGGAATCAGAGCGGCAGGGTCCACGACATCTCCAAGGTAACGGCCATTCAAGTCAATTTTCACCCAAATGGACTTGCGCTTAGCAAGTTGGGTTTTGAAACGTGAGCCGCTGCTATCTCCGATGTTGACTTCATAGCTTTTGCAAACGCTTCATCCCAAGCGTGAGTTTTGCTTTGCATTTGCATTGCTTAAAAAGATTCTTGCCCGCTCAGTGACATTGAGGCGAATCGTTCCATGCACAGCACCGTGACATTTACAGTGCAAAGCAGCGAGCAGGCAGAGCCCCTCTGTAGCGCAACTATGCTTCAACCAACTTTGGTTTTCCAAACTGATATGTGGCATTGTGTGTGTGCGCACGCCCGTGCGGCAGTGTGCCAAGCTTTTTTACTTTGGCCCCGAAGGACCGAGTTGCACTTGCACATTTAAGAAGTGCGTCGGCACTGTTTGCTACACTGTCGGCTCCAGTCGCCAATGCCTGTCAGAAGCTCCAGCGCTTTTATTCACCACGTGAGAGTCTTTGCATGTCAGAGTGCTGCGCATGCCCTCGTCGTTGTGATTCTTCTTCAGATTGGAGACCATGACGGATGTGTTTTCAGCGATCAAACCATGCGGTGCCACCCTTACTGGATCTTGAAGCCTTCGTCCTTGGAAGTTCTGGCAGAAACTTACATGGGCACATGTTTAACCCAACAAGCGTCATGCAAGCATTGGGCAATGCAGCTTTGAAACAGTTGAAACAAGGTCATGACACAAACTTCCCTTCAGAGCCAGATGTCAGGCGATCAATGTACAGGGCGTCGTGAGCGATGTTGGCTTCACAGCAGGAAGCTCAGACGTTTTCCGAAGTCTTCTTGGTGCTGCCTTACAGCGCCTGGAAAGCAACAGTACAAGCTAGCTACGCTGCGGTTTTTGGTAAGCTGCTCTCATGTTTCAAGGTGGGGACGGAATGTATTTCAACGAAGCCTGGAATGCGCAGCCCCTGTTTCAGAGAGCGAGAGCGAGAGAGGGAGAGCGAGCAAGAGAGAGAGAGAGAGTCAGAGAGTCAGAGAGTCGAGAGAGTCGAGAGAGTCAGACAGAGAGAGGGAGAGAGAGAGACAGAGAGCGAGCTGCATGGGCTACGCCTAGGGACTGCGCGCAAAGCAATGAAAAGTAATCCTGTGCAAATTGAGGCAAATCACACCCATGGGATTCCAGCCATCGAGAACGGCCACTCGCTCAGTTTCACCGCCTGTGGTAAGGTTCGCCTGGACCCTTAAAGGAAAACAGCCAGCTTCTTCAGGCCATGAAATCGGACCTCGAATTTCTATAGCGTTTCTTCTTGGGGCAGAGGACCGGGCTGGAAAATCGCCAGGAACCGAGCCCCTAAAAAGCAGCAATCGCATCCAACCACCATACTGCGGTCACGTCTGCCGGGCATTGGGTATACACATGGCATTGCCAAATTTGAAGAAATTATGTATTCGAACATACATACATACATACATCCGCACATGCATGCATACATGCCCACAGGCATAAAAACAGCCCGTTAAGTTACATTAAGTTACCGCTTTACATTATTTCACATTGCAATGCATAAACCAAGATGCCAGCATTGATGAGAACATAATTGTTTACATAAACACGAACAAGGAACTTTAGATAAAACCATCGAAACATGACAAGGTCAACAAATTAAATACAGATAGATTAGGGGATAGAAAATTATAGGTTGGAAAAGGTCAGACAAGGTATAAAGGTAGATACAATAATACAAACTACTCCAGCATAGACCCCACATAGCAAATTTTTTTTTTGGGCAGCAAGCGGCGTAAACATAATATAACATAATCTCCATCCACCGCCCCGCGCTACCATAGACATCTCGCAGCGACCCCCTGCAACGGCACCAGCGTCCAAGTTCCACAGCAGCTCTGGAAGGGCGCCAGCACCCAAGCTCCACAGCGCACGCTGACAGCAGCACCCTGCAGCGGCAGGCCAACTCCAAAGCGCACGCACCACTCTAACAGCGGCGCCTTGAAGCTCCTGATCATGCGCATCGGACGCGCAAACGTAGGGCGAAATGCGAATTTTCTGCCCATGGTCCCTCACGTCGCCCTTTCGCACGAAATGAGAGCAGAAACATGCAGAAACGTCAAAAATTGATGTAAACTTGCAATTTTGACAGTTCAAATGCAGCCCTACTGATATATCACACGACATGAAGGTCAATAAAATCCGGTGTAAAATTGCGAACGCACATATCACAAAACTGGCGTAAATATGCAGTTCCAGGTAAAGTTTGGTTGTTTTAACTGCCAAATGTAACCCATTCGCACAAAATGATGGTTGGATGTTAAAAACAGAGGTAAAATTGCGATTTTCCAACGTCAGACGCAACCCTTTCGCACGAAATGGTGCTCGAATGTCAAAAAGTCGGGGAACATTGCGATTTCGCAACGTCACAAAGCCGCTCTGTGGCAAGGCTTCTCTGTGTAAAAGCTTCCCTATGTAAAAGCCTCTGTGTGTGAAAGCCTCTGTGTGGCCTGTGTCAAGGCTTCTGTATGTAAAAGCTTTTCAGTGTAAAAGCTTGTGTGTGTGTAAACGCTTCTGTGCAAAATTGCGTGTGTAAAAGCTTCTGTGGGTAGAAGCTTCTGTGTGTAGAACCCTCTGCGTGTAAAAGCTCCCTCTTTGTAAATACTTCTTTGTGTGCAAGTTTCTGTGTGTAAAAGCTTCGGTGTGTAGAACCTTCTGTGGGTACAAGCTTCTGTGTGTAAAAGCTTCTCTGTGTAGAGTCTAGAGGTTTCTCTGTGTAACGGCTTCTCTGTGTAAACGCGTCTGTGTGTAAAAGCTCCTCTGTGTAAAGACTTCTGTGTATAAAATAGCTTCTGTGTGTAAAAGGTCCGGTGTAAAGACTTCTCTGTGTAAAAAGCTTCTGCGTGTAAAAGCTTCGGTGTGTAAAAGCTTCTGTGTGTAAAAGCCCCTCTGTGTGAAAAACACCTCTGTGAGTAATAGCCTCCTGCAAAGACTTCTCTGTGTAAAAGCGTCTGTCTGTAAAAGGTCCTCTGTGTAAAAGCTCCCCTGTGTAAAGGCTTCTCTGTGTAAGAGCTTCTGCGCGTCAAAGCTTCTGCGTGCAAAAGCTTCCGTGTAAAAGCCTCTGTGCCAAGGCTTCTCTGTCTAAATGCTTCCGTGTGTAACAGCTTATGTGTGTAAAAGTCCTTCTGTGTAAAGACTTCTCTGTGTGCAAGTTTCTGTGCGTCAGAGCTTTGTTGTGTAAGAGTTTTTCTGTGTAAAGGCTTCTCTGTGTAAAAGCGTCTGTGTGTGTAAGAGCTTCTGTGTGTGAAAGCTTCAGCCTAAAAGCTCCTCTGTGTAAAGGCTTCTCTGAGCAAAAGCTTCTTTGCGTAAAAACTTCAGTGTGTACAAGCTCCTCTGTGCAATGGCTTCTCCGCATAAAAGCTTCTGAGTGTAAAAGCGTCTGCGTGTAAAAGCTTCTGTGCAAAAGCTTCTCTGTGTAAAAGCTCCTCTGTGTAAAAGCTTCTGTGTGCAAAAGCTTCGGCTTCGGTGTGTATAAGCTTTGGTGTTAAGAGCTTTGGTGTGTCAAAGCTTAAGTGTGTCAAATCTTCTGTGTGTAAGAGCTTCTGTGTCCAAAGACGCCATCTCTCGTGAATCTGACTGTTGCCCCTGGAGCAAACTTCGCCTGGGGGGGAAAACTTTCAGACTGTGGATATATGACGTTTGACCAAACGTTCATCACCCTCAACATCACTGCCCTCATCACCATCATCATTTTAATCACCATACTTTCTTCTGTGATAGCTTCTCGTCTCCTCCGTTCTCCTTTTTTTTTAACACTGTCGTTGAGAGGCCATCATCACCATCGTCGCCGTCGTCATCACCATCGCCAGTTTCATTCCTGTTCACCACGCTGCCATCATAATCAACATCGCCACCACCACCAGCATCATCATCTTCTGCATCACCATCACCATCGCTATGATCATCGTCATCACGTCATCATACTTTTCCCTTCATCACTCCTGCTCACCGCCGTGCTCATACCCATTTTCATCCTTTTCCTCATCGGAAGGTGACGAAATAAAGGTAGCCAGATTTTGGAGAAGAGGCAAAGGCCGCGTAAAATTGCACGCTAGTCTTGATTTAAGCTGGCAGCTGCAGCGCGGCCAAAGCACATTTTGTCAGCATGCTTGAAACTCAGGATGCATGTCGGCTAAAGGGCCACATAAAGGGCACGGAGAAAAGACATGCGGAGTCAGCTTTTGGCAGGGAAACAGTCAATCAGTCGTAAAGACGCATTTGTAAAGACACACTTGCTGGCCCTCCATGCCGTGAGGATTCTCGGAGCAGCCTCTACCAAAAGGTGCTGCTCCCAAATGAGGTTCCGCAGCCATAGCTGTGAGAGCCGCATCTTTGAGACAAGCTTGCCTTAAGCAGCCATGGACATAGAATTATTTTCTTAGAGAATCTTAATTGCGCCAGCCTCCCCAAGGGACTAGCTGGCATAGCTCCAAAGGAGCATGAGATCGTCAGACGGGCGCTGCGAGCATTCAGCGAGCACATAGTTTTGGACCTGCTGCTAATTTGAACATTGAACAGGGCAAAGCCGTGGCTGCCTTGGAGCTGGCAGACCTTAGCACTGCCCACGACGTCATGGCGAAGCAGAAGCACAAGTGCACTTGTGACGGTTGCAGGGCCCCTTTTTTTATTACCCTGGCGCTGGAGCTGGTGCGGCCACATGATTTTGACTGCGCGGTGCCTGCTTCATTCCCGCAAAGCGGAAGCACATAGATTTTGAATGGTTTTTATTCCGGAATGCGTAGCGAAGGGTTCTCGTTTTACTTTGGGGGTCTGGGGGTTGAGACGTGTTCGCTCGACGCTGCTTTGGTGCTCGCAACCGTCCGCAACCGTTTGCGAGCGACCGTTGTGGGGACAAAATGGCCGTGCCCATGGCGAGTTCTGCAAAAGCGGGTACTTTTGTAGGATTTTGTAGGTTTCAAATGTCGCGTAGTTTCGCTTCGCGTGGCAGGCGTGGCGCTTTGTGACATTCCAACATGTTTCATAAAGTGTCGAAAATCGTTTTGTGCGGCAGACGCAATACTTTGCGTCTTTTGCGGAAGATGATTTGCATTTTCCGTGTCACGCGCAGCACTTTGGAGAACTCCATCGTCATTTTGCGTGGCAAGCGCAGCATGTCAGACGTGTCGCATCGCGTGTTTTTGCGAATCCCATTGTCAGGGCTGCGCGAAGTGGTGGCAACGTGCAAATTCCGTGGCATTTTGTGACATGTGATGAAAATTGGCGGAAGCATCGCACGAAACATCGATTTTGAGGTAGCAAATTTTGAGGTTCATGAGAAAACTCGTCGGAAAACGTCGATTTTGAAGCTACAAAGTGTGAAATTTGGAGGAAGTCTCGAACGAAATGCGCATTTTGAGGCTCCAACATGTCTTGTCTCGATTCTCTGGTTTTCTTGTGGCATCGCCGGGTCTTTGGGGGAAGCTGCAAAACCTTTCCTTTTCGAAGGTGTCAAAACAGGTTGTAGTGTTGTTTTGCGTGGCAGGCGTGACACTTCCTGACATTCTCACGTGTCTGCAAAAGTGTCGAAAATCGTTTCTTGTGGCAGGCGCAATGCTTTTGCGTCTTTTCAGAAGATGATTTGCATTTTGCGTGTCACAGGCAGCACTTTGGAGAACTCCATCGTCATTTTGCCTGGCGCTGTACACTCCACACTCCACACTTTACACTCCACACTTTGCACCACACTCTTCACTCCACACTTTACACTCCTCACTCCACACTTCACACTCCACACTTCACACTTTACACTCCACACTTCACACTTTATACTTCACACTCCGCACTCCACACCTTACACTCTACACTCCACACTTTACACTCTACACTTTACACTCCAAACTCCACACTCCACACTTTACACTTTACACTCCAAACTTCGCACTTTGCGCTTTACACTCTACACTCCACACTTTACACTCTACACTTTACACTTTACACTCCACACTCCACGCTTTACACTCTACACTCCACACTTTACACTGTACACTCCACACTTTACACTCCACACTTTACACTTACACTTCGCACTCCACTTTTTACACTAGTGCAAAGTATACGCTTTACGCTTTACACTCCACACTTTACACTTTACACTCCGCACTTCACAGTTTACACACACACACCAAACTATACACTCCACTCCTTGCACTTTACACTCCACACTTTACACTCTACACTCCACACTTCACACTTTACACTCCACACTATACACTCCACACTTTACACTTTACACTCCACACTTCACACTTTACACTCTACACTCTACACTCCACACTTTTCACTGGCCATTCTACACTCTACAATTTTCACTCCACGCTTTACACTCCTTTCTACACTCCACACTTGACACTTTACACTCCACACTGTCAACTCCACACTTTACACTCCACACTTCGCACTTTGCACTTTACACTCTACACTCCACACTTTACACCCTACACTTTACACTTTACACTCCACACTCCACGCTTTACACTCTACACTCCACACTTTACACTGTACACTCCACACTTTACACTCCACACTTTACACTTACACTTCGCACTCCACTCTTTACACTAGTGCAAAGTATACGCTTTACGCTTTATACTCCACACTTTACAGCCACACACAAACCACCGGGTAACTGACTTTACAGCTTACGCACCCCACACTAACAACAGCACACACTTACTCGGCCACAAGGCGAATCACCGATCCAACCCACACTTATAACCTTTGATCACACCAAATCATTCCGGAACAACATCAAACCAACTCAACCCATCCTGCTTTACACTTTACACTCCGCACTTCACAGTTTACACACACACACACCAAACTATACACTCCACTCCTTGCACTTTACACTCCACACTTTACACTCTACACTCCACACTTCACACTTTACACTCCACACTATACACTCCACACTTTACACTCCACACTTCACACTTTACCCTGTACACTCTACACCCCACACTTTTCACTGGCCACTCTACACTCTACAATTTACACTCCACGCTTTACACTCTTTTACAGAGCCTTTACACTCCACACCTGACACTTTACACTCCACACTGTCAACTCCACACTCCACACTTTACACTCCGCACTCCACACTTTACACCGCACTCCAAACTTCACACTCTACACTCCACACTTTACACTGTACACTTCACACTTTACACTCCACACATCACACTTTACACTTTTCACTCTACATTTCACACTTTACATTCCACCGTTCCCGCTTACACTCTACACTCCACACTCTACACTTTACAATTTACCTCTTACACTCCACACTTTACACTTCACACTCCACACTTTACACCTTGCACTTTACACTCTACACTGTACATTGCACACTTTACACTTTACACTCTACGCTTTACAATCCACACTCTACACTTTACACTCCGCGCTCCACACTCCACACTTTACACTCCACACTCCACGCTTCACACTTTACACTCCACACTCCACACTTTACAGTTTGCACTTTGCACTCCACACTTTAATCTTTACACTTCACACTTTAAACTTTACACTTTACACTCCGCACTCCACACTTTACACT